TTGGACCCAAATTCCAGTTTTGGTCTCTGTTGCTCCCTTTTTGCTTACTGGCAAAGGAAGACGTGCGAAACTCGTCTCAAGCCACTGAAACTCCATGAATATCACTCCAAGGACTCAAAGGAAGGCTTTCCCGCCACCTTCTTGCCGCCTGGCACTTTTGATCCAAGTACCAGTTTTGGTCTCTTTTCGTCACCTTTTGCTTACCGGCAAAGGAAGACGTGCCAAACTGATCTCAGGCCACTGAAACTCCTTGAATATCACTCCTAGGACTCCAAGGAAGGCTTTCTCACCACCTTCTCCCCTTCTGGTACTTTCTGGCGCCTTTGGACCCAAATTCAAGTTTTGGTCTCTTTTGGTCCCCTTTTGTTTTTCGGCAAAGGAAGACGTGCGAAACTCATCTCAGGCCACTGAAACTCCATGAATGTCACTCGAAGGACTCAAAGGAAGGCTTTCGGACCACCTTCTCCCCATCTGGCACTTTCTGGCCCCTTTGGACCCAAATTGAAGTTTTGGTCTATTTTGGTCCCCTTTTGCTTATTGGAAAAGGAAGACGTGCGAAACTCGTCTCAGATCCCTGAAACTTCTTGAGTATCACTTCTAGGACTCAAAAGAAGGCTTTCTCACAACCTTCTCCCCTTCTGGCTCTTTTTGGCGCCTTTGGAACCAAGTTCCAGTTTTGGTCTCTTTTCGTCACCTTTTGCTTACTGGCAAAGGACGATGTGCGAAACTCGTCTCAGGCCACTGAAACTCCATGAATATCACTCCAAGGACTCAAAGGAAGGCTTTCCCGCCACCTTCTTGCCGCCTGGCACTTTTGATCCAAGTACCAGTTTTGGTCTCTTTTCGTCACCTTTTGCTTACCGGCAAAGGAAGACGTGCCAAACTGATCTCAGGCCACTGAAACTCCATGAATATCACTCCAAGGACTCAAAGGAATGCTTTCTCACCGCCTTCTCGCTGCCTGGCACTTTCTGGCGCCTTTGGACCCAAATTGAAGTTTTGGTCTCTTTTGGTCCCCTTTTGCTTACCGGCAAAGGAAGACGTGCGAAACTCGTCTCAGGCGACAGAAACTCCTTGAATATCACTCCTAGGACTCAAAGGAAGGCTTTCTCACCCTCTTGTCCCTTTCTGGCAGCTTCTGGTATCTTGGACCCAAGTTCCAGTTTTTGTCTTTGTTGGTCCCCTTTTGCTTACTAGCAAAGGAAGACGTTCCAAACTCGTCTCAGGCCACTGAAACTAATTGAATATCACTCCTAGGACTCAAAGGAAGGCTTTTTCACCGTCTTGTCCCTTTTTGGCACTTTCTGGCGCCTTTGGACCCAAATTTTAGTTTTTGTCTCTTTTGGTCCCCTTTTGCTTATTGGCAAAGGAAGACGTACGAAACTCGTCTCAGGTCCCTGAAACTTCTTGAATATCACTCGTAGGACTCAAAAGAAGGCTTTCTCACCACCTTCTCCCCTTCTGGCACTTTCTTGCGCCTCTGGACCCAAGTTACAGTTTTGGCCTCTTTTTGTCCCCTTTTGCTTACTGGCAAAGGAAGATGTGCGAAACTCGTCTCAAGCCACTGAAACTCCATGAATATCACTCCAAGGACTCAAAGGAAGGCTTTCCCGCCACCTTTTCCCGTTCTGGCACTTTCTGGCGCCTCTGGACCCAAATTCAAGTCTTGGTCGTTTTTCGCCCGCTTTTGCTTACCGGCAAAGAAAGATGTGCGAAACTCGTCTCAGGCCACTGAAACTCCATGAATATCACTCCAAGGACTCAAAGGAAGGCTTTTTTCACCGCCTTCTCCCGATCTGACACTTTCTGGCGCCTTTGGAGCAAAATTCAAGTTTTGTTCTCTTTTGGTCCCCTTTTGCTTACCGGCAAAGAAAGACGTGCGAAAGTCGTCTCAGGCCACTGAAACTCCATTAATATCACTCTAAGGACTCAAAGGACGGCTTTCTCACCACCTTCTCCCTGCTTGGCACTTTCTGGCACCTTTGGACCCAAATTGAAGATTTGGTCTCTTTTGGTCCCCTTTTGTTTACCGGCAAAGAAAGACGTGCGAAACTCGTCTCAGGCGACAGAAACTCCTTGAATATCACTCCTAGGACTCAAAGGAAGGCTTTCTCACCGTCTTGTCCCTTTCTGGCACCTTCTGGTATCTTGGACCCAAGTTCCAGTTTTTGCCTCTGTTGGTCCCCTTTTGCTTACTGGCAAAGGAAGACGTTTCAAACTTGTCTCAGGCCACTGAAACTAATTGAATATCACTCCTAGGACTCAAAGGAAGGCTTTCTCACCGTCTTATCCCTTTTTGGCACTTTCTGGCGCCTTTGGACCCAAATTTCAGTTTTGGTCTCTTTTGGTCCTGTGACGCCTAAAAATAACAGGATTTTTTTATTTTTTTTTGAAACAGGAGAAGCGGAAGGATAACACATTTTTTGAATTCACCTCTAGTACATCACATTTCTGTTTAGGGATTTGTGGTCTCAACGTACAATATCAAAACTAAGTAAAATGGGGATCTCTATCCGATACGATACTTTTGGGTACTCCATGGAGTCGTACAATCTCCTTGATATAAATTTGAGTTAGTCGTTCCAGGGAATGCTTCATGTTTACAGGCAGGAAATGGGCTGATTTGGTGAGACAGTCAACTATGACCCAAATAGCGTCGTTCCCATTTCTGGTTCTTGGAAATCCAGAAACAAAATCCATAGCAATGTCGCTCCATTTCCACTCCGGAATGCTCAATGGTTGGAGTTGTCCCGCTGGTTTCTGATGCTCCACCTTTACTTTTTGGCAAGTTAGGCACGAGGCAACATATTCCGCTACTGCTCTCTTCATTCCGGGCCACCAGAAACTCTTCTTCAAGTCTTGATACATCTTCGTGGATCCAGGATGAATACTCAGAGCGCTTTTGTGAGCTTCCTCCAAGATCATTCTTCTTAAATCTTCCTTGGCAGGAACACAAATCCGCTCCTTGTACCTAATCAATCTTTCCTCATCTTGGTAAATATGGGATTCTTTTCCTTTCTTCCTTGCTTCAAGCCTTTCTAGTAGATACTTGTCATCTCCTTGAGCTGATCTTAATTGTTCCAAGAATTCATTAGTGATCTTCAAATTCCCCAATATTATGCTGGAAGGAGTAAATTGAGTTGCCAAGTTCAAGTCCCTAAACGATTCTAGCATTTCCAGCTCTTTGATCATCAAGGCTGTCACATGTAGTGACTTACGACTTAGAGCATCCGCTACAACATTTGCTTTTCCAGGGTGATATCGCAACTCGAAGTCGTAATCCTTGAGAAACTCCATCCATCTCCTCTGGCGCATGTTCAGCTCTTTCTGGTCAAACAGGTACTTCAGACTCTTATGGTCGCTGAATACCTCAAATTTTGCTTCATACAAGTAATGTCGCCATATCTTGAGTGCAAAAACTACGGCCGCTAACTCAAGGTCATGGGTTGGGTAGTTCTTCTCATGTGGTCTTAATTGTCGGGAGGCGTATGCCACAACCTTCTTATTTTGCATCAACACGCATCACAGTATACATCAAACCTTTGTTGTGGATCAGGAAGTACTAAGATAGGTGCAGTGGTCAAACGAGTCTTTAATTCTTGAAAACTATCTTCACACTTGCTGTCCCATTGAAAAGGTTGATCCTTGCGAGTTAGTCGAGTCATAGGTGTAGCTATCTTGGAAAATCCTTCGATGAAACGCCAATAATATCCAGCAAGTCCTAAGAAGCTTTTGATTTCTGTCACTGACTTAGGTGGTTCCCACTTCAATACGACTTCTACTTTCGATGGGTCTACCGCAATTCCTTCCTTTGAAATTACATGTCCCAATAATTGAACTTCTTTTAACCAGAACTCACACTTAGAAAGTTTCGCATAAAGTCACTTTTCACGTAGTATTCCAAGAACAATCTTTAAATGTTCCGAGTGCTCTTCGGGAGTGCGAGAATAGACCATAATATCATCGATAAAAACCACCACAAATTGGTCCAAGAAAGGATGAAAAACCCGATTCATATAGTCCATGAATACCGCAGGTGCGTTCGTCACTCCAAAAGGCATCACTTGATACTCGTAGTGTCCATACCGAGTCCTGAAAGCTGTCTTTGGAATGTCTTCTTCTTTAACTCGAATTTGATGATAACCTGACCTCAAGTCTATTTTGGAGAACACTGCGGCTCCCTTCAATTGATCCATGAGGTCATCGATTCGTGGTAGCGGGTATCTGTTTTTAATGGTGACTTTATTCAGTTGGCGATAATCAACGCACAATCTCATGCTTCCATCCTTTTTCTTCACAAGCAAGACTGGGGCTCCCCAGGGTGAAACACTAGGTCTAACCAGTTGTTTAGCGAGTAATTCTTCCAGTTGATTCTTCAGCTCTGATAATTCCGCAGGTGCCATTCTGTAAGGCGCAATAGATATGGGGCCAGTGCCAGGCATCAAATCTATGGAAAACTCGGTTTCCCTAATTGGGGGTAAGCCAGGAATATCATTAGGAAATACTTCAGGAAATTCACAAACCACTGGAATGTTTTCTAACTTCTCTTCTCCTTTGGCTTCAACAGTGGCCAAAATAATATAGGCTTGAGCTTGTTCTTCCAAGATGTCTACCTGGTTTTTAGCACGAGACTCTAGATGACTCCATTCCATATGTTTAGGAAGGTCAAAAACTAAGGTCTTCTCTTGGCAATCTAAAAGGACATGATTGGCAGAGAGCCAATCCATTCCCAGGATAATATCCAGGTTGGTAAGAGGCAAGCATATCAAATTAACAAGAAAGCTCTTGCCCTCTATTTGAATTGGACAGTGTAAGCAAACATGGGATGCGGTTACGGGATTATTAGTGGGGGTAGAAACAACAATATTACATTTCATGACAAGAACAGGTAATTTTAATCGCCTCACACAAGATTCAGAGATAAAGGAATGTTTGGCGCTTGAATCAAACAACACATTAAGGGATGTCCCATTTAGAATGCATGTACCTTGGATTAGGTTTTAAGATTGAGCAGCTTCAGCACCACTCATTGTAAATACTCTCCCCCTTGTACTGGGTCTTCCTACCGATGTTGGAGATACGTTAACGGGGTTTTGACTTCTCACCTCACCCTGATTACTGGAATTCCTTTGGCCTTGACTGGGGTTTCTTCGGTTCGTTCCCGTAGAGATAGTGTCATTGCTGCGGGTAGGTTGTCTACAGAAGTGACCAAGATGGCCCGTTCTTTGACATTTAGGACAAGGGTTAGGATGCTGACGGCATTGAGATTTGAAATGAGGACCTCCATAGTTGTAGCACATCAAGGGTGGTCGATTTACGCTTCCACTGCTTGACCTCTGGCTTTTTACAGGTTCGCTCCAATAACTCCTTGTTGGCGTAAAATACGGCTTACGTTTTTCTTGAACTTCTTTACCCCTTGATCCGAAACTATGAGCGGGGCGATGAGGACCTGATTGCTTCCACAGAGTTTGGCGAGCTTTGGTGTCATTCTCATATATTCGACATCTGTCCACCAAGGTTGGAAAATGTTGGACTTGGTGACAGCTAATAGCTTGTTTGATATCAGGTCGAAGTCCGCTTTCAAACTTAGAACACCTAGACCGATCATCAGCTTGAGCAAAATATGGACAGTATTTTGACAGTTCATCAAACTTAGCTGCATATTCTCCGACACTCATCTGTCCGTGAGTCAGGGTTAAAAACTCTTGCTCCCTCCTCCTACGGATGTCTCCGGAAAATACTTTTCGAGGAACCGGCGGCGGAAGATGGTCCACTCTACCATGATTCCTTTAGTCTCTAGTTGTTGGCGAGCAATCTGCCACCAATATTCAGCCTCTCCCACTAGCATGAAAGCTGCATAAGTCACCTTTTCCTCCTCGGTGCAAACCATTGCCTCATATATTTTCTCCAATTCTTCTATCCAAAGTTGAGCACTATCAGGGTTAAATCCGCCTCAGAACTGCGAGGGTTTATTCTTGCGGAATTCGGACAATCCACGGTTCAGAACTGGTTCATTCTGTCTTTCTAAGATATCTACTACTCTCCCCAGTAGGGTTTCCATGACATCATCCCTAACTCTCCTAGCCATAACTTTCTGAAATACAAGTAAGCACATCAATTCTCAAAAGTCAATCAGTCACAGCAAAGTAACAAGCACACTAACACACAAACCATAAGGGTTTCCAAACAATTCAGAGATTCACACAGAAGTTGGGCAGTTAGGCCATGCCCCTAGGCCTCAACTGACCGAACTGCTCTGATACCACTTAATTGTGACGCCTAAAAATAACAGGATTTTTTTTTTTTTGAAACAGGAGAAGCGGAAGGATAACACATTCTTTGAATTCACCTCTAGTACATCACATTTCTGTTTAGGGATTTATGGTCTCAACGTACAATATCAAAACTAAGTAAAACAACAACCACAACAATAATGCTCCATCATAACTGAATAACCTCATGCAATGGATAGGGAAATATTTAGTGATAATCTCAGAGTACTACACCTTGATAAGGTAAAATGACATAATTAAAATGCACAAAATCAACATAGTTCAGAGATACATGGAATGAAACAGACTGACTCCCTAAGAGCAGTTCCTTAAAAACAACAACAAACAAACTATCCCAATCAGTTGAGAGGAGAATAATCCTCAATGGGATCGAACTCCTCAGAAGATGTCGGGGAAGCAGAGCTAGAAGAAGCGGCGTCCTCTGTGTCGTCTACAATCCATCCAGCAGTGCGAGGTGGTGAATGAACTGTGGTAAAGGGCGAATAAGTGTTTGGGTAGGTAGGGAGCATGTGGGGCAGTACATCATCATTCCTCACTAAGGGTTCTGCCATATATGTATCTCTCTCAGTGGTCACAGGGGGTGGAGTAGGTTCCTCAGTAGGGAATGGTACAGGCGTAGGTACTGGTCTAGAACTGGGAGTACGAGGATCAACAGACATGGGAGAAGGAGTAGCTGCAAGTGCAGGATAAGGTAGGTGGGAGTCTCCAGGTGGGGTGGAGAAAACAAGCTCGATGGGGGTGTCAACCATAAAGTGGGTGGTCCACGAGTGTCCGACATCTTGTCCATGAATCACCCGTGCCATTCCATGGAAGATGCTTTGCTGTGCTGCCGCGTCGAACACCCAAACGTCCTCCTCAGATGGCAGGATCCATACCTTCACTCGGAAGCTGGTCATCTGTACAATACATATACAAAAGTACAACAACACACACAAACAGGGGTGAGTTCTCCAAACACAAGCAAACATCCAATAGCCGTACCCCAAGGAAGGTGGCTTTTCACACCATCGCTCAAGTCACATCATTATCCAATCTCAGAACAAACATCAATACAATATAGGTCGGTTCATACTTCTCACAGACAATTCCTAGGTTCATCAAACTAATAATGCTCATGATGCATGAATGCAAGTTTCGTCTCTCACTATCCATCCCTCAAATTTTCGTGTTAATGCACATGGTATGCATGGGGATCCCATACTCTACTGCCAACGACTTGCCCAGCATTTAGTGTAGAGTTCACAAATTCATATCCAAGTCGTATGGCGATCGGAGGACTCCATTCCCTGCATCACAATCGCACAGAAAAGAATTTACATCATTATTCAAAAACACCCAAACTGGTGCTTGCCCCAAACTGGGTCTCTTCGGGAATGGACCTCAACGACCCTAGGATGTGGAGTTCTTGTCGGGCTTGGCTAAGGCTTGCAAGTAGGGTCACGACCCGGCCACAGAGAACTCTGCTGCACCATCTAGGTCGACTGTTCCCCCTTTCGCCACCCCCGTAGGTCTACTCGGGACCGAACCTCCAATACCTACAGCTGTGCCTCTGTTATGCCATCAAGTCGTTCCAAAGAAATGTTATGATGCATGGAGTATGATTCTCCTTTCTCTCCTCAACGTTTTCTCAATCTTGGGTCATATAGAATTCAAGCACAGAAACAAAGCCCTCACAAGGCCTGCTCAATCACTATTCACTTTCTCATCTAGCATAAATTTGTTAAACAATAAGGTTTAAGAATCACACACAAACTTCCAATCCCACCAATGCACATCCACTATTTCTCAACACATAATTCTCAATGATTTTGACACAACCCTCTTAGATTTTCCCACCCAAATCCTATTACATTAACTTACTATATTAACACTACTCAATTTATCATTTCCATTGTTATTAACCATACTACCTCCTACTTTAAATATGACTTATCTCCACTTTTCTCTATCTCTCTGGTTTTTCCATTTAGTTATTTTCTAATTACGTGTATTGATTCCCGACTACCTATTTAATTCAAGGTTACTTAGTTTCGTTCTAATTCTTTTTAGGTTCATTAAAATTAGTCCTCACGCGATAGGTTCCATTAAGCTAATAGTGAGATCTTTTCTAAGGATGACTTTTGTTGATTAACTACTATATTCAGTCCCTTAATTACCATCTCCATACCTTTATTTACTATCCTTTTAGTTTAGGTAAACTTTCCATCAAAAAGGGCTCCGCTTAATTCTCTCCTTTTATTCCTTGTATAATGTGATGAACATGATGCATGATTCATCTTAGTGCTCACGGATTCAAGTGCAAACAGCAAACACACCTTATCATTATGCAGTCCTTATCACCCATATTTCATCAAAATTATCACAATTTTAAGTACAAATTTTAGGATTTCTCATCATCAAAACCGAGAATGAATAGTTCTCACTTTCTTGTCCACCACAAATTTCCAAAACACCACATGCATAAAGCTTTTCAAACCAAGTGAACACATCCATCACAATCAATTCAATCATCCATCATCCAAACTAACAAGCAACCATTCTCATGCAAATTACAGAAAGTCCAACACGGTTTTCAATTTCTAAGTGTAGTTCAATATTCTAGGCTTTTTCCATGCAAGATCAAATCTGTCCAGCTTTTCCACTAGATTTTTATCAAATTAAAAATTATGTAACATAAAGGAAACTAACATGCAATGACATAGTTTCATCGTCCAAGTGGAGGGACAACATTTCCAAGTGACATTCAAATTTCTAAGAGAAAACCAAAACACTTAGGGGCTGAAATCAACATACAATGGCTTCCATTTCACATGCAATCCAAGGTTTATTGATTACAAGGGTCAATCAACATTTTAAACAAAGAATCCAGCCAAACAAAGGTGAAACCGAGGCATGCACAAAGAGATCCAAAGCATTTCATGGTTAAAAATTAACATGCAAGTGAAAGAATATGTTGATCAAGTTCACGGTTCATGGTTTCAAGAAGGAAATGTCATTAATTCAAAGGTTCCACCAAGGGAACATAAAAACCGAGACATGCACAAGGGAAGATCCACATCCACACATCAAAGTTTCAAGCTTTTTAGGAATTAAAGTTGATTAAAAGTGAAATCAAACTCTTTAGGAAGTAACCGAGACATGCAAACAAGGAAATCCATACTCTTTTTGGATCAAACTTAACATGCAAGTTCAGATTTGAAGTTCTTCCAACATGCAGTCCAACACACTATTTTTTTTTTAAGGAAAAATGTGTAAAAATAGCCAAGAGATGGACATGCAAACACATCAATTGTGAGAACTCCCCCTTGCCTTGATTGTGACGAAAATTTAGGAGCAAAAGGAGTTGATCTTGGTTGGTTCTTCAAAGGAGAGTTGCTGGACCGAGAGGATGAGTTTCAAACTTCAATCTTTCTCCTCTTGGTTAGGTTGTCTTCCTCGGTTCTTTGAAGAGAAAAAAGGGGAAAAGCTTCAAATGGTTAGGATCAAGTGAAAAAGGAAGCTTTTTAGGAGTTTTTGGTGTTATGCTTCCATGGATCTTCAAATCAAAGAAGGAAAAAGGATGAGAAAGCTTACCTCTTTGAAGGAATGGTCACGGTTTTGAAGAATCAAGCAAGAGAATGCGAAAGTGAAAGCTTGGAGCTCCTTGGCTTGTCTTGGAAGGTTGAGAGGATGAGAATTTTTTGAGAGATTTAGGGAGGGAGGGTCTCAGTTTCTTTGAAGAAATGGAGAGAATAGGAACTTGAAAAGATTTTTTAGAGGAAAGGTGGAGGGCTCACGGTTTTTGAGTGAAAAAAGAGAGAAAATGAGGTGGTTTGGACTATTTATATGGAGTGTTTAATTTCCCTTTGCCAATTAGAACTTAATGCTCACGGTTTGGGCTTTGTGGGGCAATATTCAAATGCAAAACTGCACCAAATTAATTTGAAGCAATTTGGAAGTGGAATTTGGTGAAAAACTTGAATAATAAGGGTGTCACGATTTTTTGTGCATGAATAGTGAATTCTTTTGCAAACTTGTAAGTTAAGCAATCACATTTTGGCAAGCAAAATGCATGGAGGAGTGTGGAGGCTACATGCACACGGTTTGGAGTAAAACATTCCAAGAATTGCGCAAAATTCCAAAGGCTAGATTCTAGGCAGCAATTGCATGCAATGTGATTGGCCGACGAGGAATTTGATGTGATGAGATTGACTTTCGAAGGGACATTTGACATGGTGCAGATTTCAAGAAAAGCATTTAATTGGAGTAATCATGATGCCGGCCTTTTAGAAGGCACGATTAGAAAGTTCCGGAATAATTTTGTCTACTAATCGGGAGGCAAGAATCTTTTGCATGAATTTCTAGTGGTCGATACTAGATTTGGAAATCTTTACAATAATGATTTC